TCACAAACATGCAGAACATTGCATATCGACATAGTGACTTCTTAACTGGCAGACTTGCTTTAGAATAATTAATGATTGTCACAACTGAGGAAAGGTATCATTTAGGAGAAATGTTGCTATGACGTGGAGAGCAGAATGTGAAGATTCTCTTAGAAACAAATGTTGCTGATGAATGCATAAGCTTTTCTCTCCATGAGTTAGAGGAGATTGAACCAACTGGATGACCCAGCATGGATCAAGCATACTTATGTGTCAGATCTGCAGAACAGAAAGTCAGAATATCAGATCAACTTTCAATCGTATTATCAATGATTCAAACTTTTTATTTTATTAGAAATATTCCTGAAACAGTTGGGTTGATAGTGAGGGTTGGGGATTAGGGGAGGAGAAAGAGAGGTTTGAAAGTTTCAAGGTAAATCTTAAGTCAGAACCAAAATGTGATTTGTAAAAAAACCCCTGGTGATTCTAGCTCGAACTCTTCAAGAACCCTTCAAACACCCAGCAAGAACCTTTACAGGCTTTTCAGTAGTCCTTCCTTGCCAATATCCTAGCAATGGGCAACAATCTCTTATCTACGGCATCGGGGAAATTTGTATAAAACAAGCTTTGGGACAAATGTGGAGGAAAATAGGATGTAATTTATCTTGTCTGGAAGTCACTCCTGTCTACCATGGGTGCATAACTGTTTGTTTCTCTTTGTAAGCAAACTTCATACCCAGGAGTCACCTGTCTTTCAACTCAGGGTACAAAATTCTTTTGCTTTTGCTTAGTCTCAGAAGACCATGTTCTCTCTGGAATATGTTTTCTTTCTCTCTCTCTTTCAGATTTTCTACACAAAACAATTATGTTATTACTGTCTTCTCTGGAAACTCTATTAGGAGAACAGATAACAAACCTGGGAAACTCGGAAGAGGGTGTAGACTTTACCTATTTATTTTGGTTTCGGAGCCACTCCAGGTGGTGCTCAGAGGCTCTTCCAGGTGCTGTACTCAGGATTAACCCCTGGAAATACTCATGTTGTGAGGGAAAGCCTGATTCCTATATCCATTTTTTTGAGCCTTTTATCCATTTTAATGAGCAGAGGTCTCATTCCTGTGAAGGGAGTTCTGCTCTATTTCCTCTCCTTTCTTTTTGCTCATTACTATATCAGGCAAACCTAATTTCTAATTCTGCTTTTACTATTTCTTTGTACTGAATCACCTTGCCCAGTAAAATTTGCCGACTCCTCTCCTGAGCCACAAGGGTAGAACATCCCCCAGTCCCAGGATGAGACCTGTATAAATGTCACCTGAACCTTGGGTTGGGTACTGAGCCTTTACACACACACACACACACACACACACACACACATACACACACACACTCACACACACACTTTGTTGTTGTTGTCATTTTTTTTTAACGTAGGAGTATTGCTTTTGTTCTGCCACTGATTAAGCTGACTTAAGCAGGCATTAACTCCACATTACTCTTTAAAAAACTAATTTTATTTTCATAAAGTTGTTCACAATGATTATTTACATTTAACTTTTCAACACCAATCCCACCATCATTACACCTTCTACCACCACTATTTCCAATTTTTCCAACCACCACCAAGCCTGCCCCATTGGTAGATGCTAAATAATTTATTTTGTATAGCTTGTTATGAATAGTACTCATAACTGGGATGGTACAGGACATTAAACTAAATGCCTTATACAGAAGAGGCATCCACTCTGCCACTGAACCTTTTTCCTGGCTTGTAAATTATAATTTTAGAGAAAAAATAGTCTACTTCTATTTCTCAGATGATGAAGCAACTATCATTGAGAGGGACTGTTATTGTATTAACAACCAACACATTATTGATTTATAATGTTATAAAGCAGGATTTGAATAGAGTTCAACACTGCTGCAGTGACTCAATGTTGAAGCAGCCATTAAACTTGAGACTATTAAGACGGGTTGAGGAGAGCTTAGTGTCTAAAGTGCTTTCCTTACATGTGTGAGACCACAGGCTGATTTCTAAGTCCACCTAATGGACAGAGTGTGATCCTGTCAGCTGTGTTGTTAGTGCCTGGTAGCTCTGCTGTCTTGAGTTACCTGGAGCTGCAAATAATTTTCAGCTATAATGCAACCAGATATGCTGTAGCATTGCAGCAAAATGGTTCAATACTAAGCAAATATCACAACTAAAGAGATATATGTATATTGTAGGAAGTAGTATAATCCCAAATAACCACATGGGCTGGAGCGATAGCACAGTAGTAGGGCGTTAGCCTTGCACGCAGACAACATGGCCGACCCGAGTTCGATTCCTTTGCCCCTCTCGGAGAGCCCGGCAAGCTACCAAGAGTATCTCGCCCTCACGGCAGAGCCTGGCAATCTACCTGTGATGTATTCGATATGCCAAACACAGTAACAACAGTCTCCAATGGAGACGTTACTGGGCCCGCTCGAGCAAATCAATGAACAACGGGAGGACAGTGACAGTGACAGTGAGTACCTAAGTGACCCCCTACAAGTACAACTAAAATAGACATGAGCAGAAAATTAAAGGAATGTGGCCTCCTTTAAGACCACAACTAAATGTGTGAGCACCATAACCAAATGAGTGCGCTATCTTCAGTCTTTGTGCAACACCAAGTGAGGAAAGAAAAGGAAGAAAAGGGAGAAAATAGAACAATTGCTTTCCTGAGTGTCCTCCATGTGAAATTAAAACACATTCAAGTTAAACATAGGAACTTTTTATTTTGAGTTCCCACAATGATGTCTTTAAGTATAAAAAAATTTCCCTAGGATACAAGCTTCTGAAATAACATCATCATCATAACCTTAAATGAATTTATTAAGCTTTCAGATTTGGTACCTCATTCTCATGAGTTTTCTACTTCAGCCTAACCTAAAGAAATAGATGCACTCTTGTTGTGCTGGAAAATCAGATTTTGAAAATTCAAGGACAGACTCTGGGTCAATACAATTTCAGCAAGATAAGTGTGGTGCTGAGTCCTCCAGGGAGGCTTAGAATTCTCAGCTCATTCCATCGATTTGTCTACTTACTACCACCAATTACTTAGAAGAAGATTATTCGCCATTATTTTAGGAAGGACAACTATGTGCTAAGAGTTTTCATGAATTAATTGTGCAGCATATTTATAGTCTTTCAAATCTGAAAGATTTTATGGACTAGATATTAAATTTACTCAATTATTAACTTATCTTGAATTCAAAGTAAGACATATCTGCTTCCAAGCCAAAGTCCTTTTCTCTTGGAAGAATTATTTACCATATTATTCATTTCTTAAGAACATAAAATAATTATTTAAATCATTCACATACCCATATCACTAAGGACCTCTTTGACAATAGTAGATTTGTCAAAGCAGATTTGTCAAAATAGATTTGACAAAATAGATTAAAACTTAAAGTAATGTTATGATTATAGGCTTTATAGGTTTGAATTTAATTTTTTCTACCGGAAAGTAATATATTTTTTAAAATATTGATTGACCATATTCACATGGTGAAGAAGCTCACTGAGATTTCGCGAGAGTTCAAGATGCCATTCTGTCTGCACTCATCTGGGGAATATAAAGTAACAGAATGGGAGATGAACACCCATGAATAGTTGAGATAAGCACCAGGAGGTCTGCTCCTAGGTAGCACACACTGGGGGGAAAGGCAGCTCAGATAGAGAAGGGAACACCAAGTAATTGATGTTTTGAGGATTCACTTGGGATGCGAGATGTATGCTGAAAATAGACTATAGACTGAACATAATGGCCACTCAATACCTTTATTGCAAGCCACAACACCCTAAAGGAAAGAAAGAGCAAAAGGGAATGTCCTGCCACAAAGGCGGGGCAGGGTGGGGGGGATTGGGTGGAGGGGTGGGAGGGCTACTGGGATCCTTGGTGGTGGAGAATAGCACTGGTGGAGGGATGGGTACTCAATCACTGTATAACTGAAATGCAAGCACGAAAGTTTGTAAGTCTATAACTGTACCTCGTGGTGTTTCACTAATAAAAAAAAGATGCTGCTCTGTCTAATCTGTCTAATGTTCATCGATTTAAAGAAGGCTTTTGATTCTGTTTAGACTGAAGTGGTCATCAAAGCCCTAGCCAAACAGCAAGTTCAAACTCAATGCATTAGGATCCTCCGTGAGCTGTATAACGGATTCACCACATGGATATCACCATTCTACAAAGAAGTGATTATTGACGTAAAGAGAGGGGTTCCGCAGGGCGATACCATTTCACCAAAGTTCTTCAATGCCACCATTGAGAACATCTTGCGATGACTGGAATGGGCAGGAATGGGAGTGAAGTAGACGGTTGGCAACTACACTACCTCTGCTTTGCTGATGACATCATTCTAGTAACACCAAACAAGTGGTAAGAATGCTGGCTGACTTCAACCATGAGTGTGGAAATGTCAGACTGCAGTTGAATATCATGAAGACAATGTTCATGAGAAATGAACTAGTTCATGACATTCCATTTGCTCTCAACAGAACGAACATCTCATTATTCAGGTCTCCCAAAGATGATTCAAAAGAGCTATGCTTGGAATATCACATTTCACTCAAGTGAGAGAACGAATCTCGAGTCATTACCTTCATCAACAATCAAGAATCAGGGATGCTGCCTTGTTTGCCAAGGTGTTGAAAATCAGATGGGGCAGACACGTAATTAGATTTATAGACAACCTCTGGATTAGAGACATTACCAACTGGATTCAACACGATGTCAAAAGAATGCATGGCCGCCCACCTACGAGATGGTTAGACTTTTTCATAAAAACCCTGAACAAACAGTTTGAGGCTCTTTGTGTTCCTGGAGTGAGTAGATGCCACTGGGCTACACTAGCATGCAACAGGCATGAATGAAAATGTTAGTGACACCTGCTCGAGCAAATCTATGATCAGCGAGATGACAAGTGATACAAGTGATACAGTAATGATTAAAGGTTTCATAGGTTGGGATTTCATTTTGCCTACCTGAAAGTAATGTATTTTTTAAAATATAGAATGCTTCATGAATTTATGTGTATCCTTGTGAAGGAGCCATGCTACTTTCTGTATTTTTCTAATTTTAGTATATGTGCTGCTGAAGCGAGCACAATATGTTGTTTTAACATATTAGAACCTTAACAAAACATGCTGGAGAACATTGGGTTCTCTGATCTTATTGCAGGAGCATTATTTCCAATTACTTCTATTATAGGGCTGGAGCGATAGTACAGTGGTAGGGCATTTGCCTTACAAGCAGCCAACATGGCCGACCCGAGTTCGATTCCTCAGCCCCTCTTGGAGAGCCCGGCAAGCTACTGAGAGTATCTTGCCCACACGGCAGAGCCTGGCAAGCTACCCGTGATGTATTTGATATGCCAAACACAGTAACAACAAGTCTCACGATGGAGACGTTACTGGGCCCGCTCGAGCAAATCGATGAACAACGGGAGGACCGTGGCCGTGACCATGACTTCTATTAGAACATGAAACCATTCATCAGACTGTCACTGTCCTCCCATTGTTCATCGATTTGCTGGAGCAGGCCCAGTAATGTCTCCATCATGAGACTTGTTGTTACTGTGTTTGGCATATCGAATACGTCATGGGTAGCTTGCCAGGCTTTGCCGTGCTGGCGAGATACTCTCAGTAGTTTGTCAGGCTCTCTGAGAGGGGCAGTGGAATCGAACTCCGGTCGGCCATCTAGGCCGCGTGCAAGACAAACGCCCTACCACTGTGCTAATGCTCCAGCCCGAAACCATTTATATCCTGGGGAAATTTTAAGGTGATCTCAAGTATGCTCACATTAGAAAACCATACAGATATTGTTGGTTATTTTTTCTTCATCATCTCTATGAACAATTCTGCGTCTAGACCCCACAATCATTTATCATATATCAACAAAATGGATTGGATGTCACTTGCTTTTTAGGGATAATGAGTTTATATATTCACCGTGACCCCTGAAATGGCTTCCAACTTAAAATAATAGCTTAGTTTGGCAATTTTATGTGGCTCTCTCATATGTATAATTATTTCTATAAAACAATATACTTAGGAGTTATACTCCAATTGTAGAAATTTCTCGGCAAAAAGAAAGATTACTGTCCTAGACTATATTCCACCTGGAGTTGAGAGAGAACAGGATAAATGCTTTTTTCTCCCCTCTTATCCCCTGTCCTCCAGAGTCTATCAAATAGCTCCTACTGACTGAATTAACTGGAAGTCAACTATGAGAGATTCCTAGAAAATACAGTTTTCAGGGCAGAAGAAATCAAACAGTGGGTAGGACATTTGTTTGCATGCAGTTGATCCAGGTTCAATAGATGCCAGACACCCCATATGGACGGCTGAGTGCGTATCAGAAACGATCCCTAAGTGCAGAGTCAGGAATAAGCTCTAAGTATTGCTGGGTGTGTATTACTACTACTACTACTACTACTACTACTACTAATGATAATAATAATAATAATAATAATAATAATAATAAGAAGAAGAAGAAGAAGAAGAAGAAGAAGAAGAGATGAAGAGAAAAATTAAACAGTATTGGATACCAGAGAGTGAATTCAGTTTAGAGGAAATGAATACAATTCACCCACTAGTTAGAGTGATACCTAAACAGAGCCAGGAGTAAGCCCTGAGCACACTAGGGGGTGGCCCCAAATCTACCCTGCCACAACCTGCAAAAAAAATGAAAACAGACACGCAGGATATGGTTTTCTCTTAACAGGTATTACATATATATATATATATATCCAGTAAATAAGTAGTGAAATGACGAAATACAATTAATTGGGTCTTTTTGAACCCCTAAATATTAATAACTTATTCTGAAATTCTTAGAAAAATATTAATTTTTGGAAAATATTCCCACACTTTTCACCCTTTTCTGTGCAACATAGTTTTTCACACCTACCTCAATAAATACTTCAAATTGTTTTTACCTTCAGAGTTTCAATTTGGTCCTTCCAAATTCTGGAAAATCAAAGCATTCTATTAGCATCTGACCAGAACTTAGTCCATATTATAACTTCAGGATATATTTACATCATAAGAGAGCAAGATATACTAATGAAACTTTGTTTCAGTGGGAAAATAAATTTTTATCTCCTTCTTCCTACTCTAGTTATTACCTCATTCACATCTGGAATTGCAGCTGGTATCATATTATCCTACCTAATTAAGTTTGTCATAATTTTGTCATCCTCAAAGACCCATCTGTCTCAGTGACTGGGTTAAATTTGTGAGGCAAGTGTGCTGTCATAAAAATCACTACTTTATATTATCATTACATCCATAGAGATTTTGATGATGAGATTTAGTTTTTTATTTTTCCAACAACATGCTGCTACTTTTTATTTATTATATTTTAAATAGAATGAAGTACACTGTTCCTTCCATAATAACTCTTTACCAGAATCATGCCAATTAATTATATGATTTCTAGAAACCCTATACTGCAAAAGAATCAAGTACAGGCATACTACTCAATATAGAATAGTCTTTACCAAATCATAATTCAACAAGACGTTTTTTTGATCCTCAGCAAGACATTTGTTTGTTTTCCCAATGCAGTCTCAATTCAAGGTCAATATCCAATGGCAAATATGTCAGAGTTTATTGGAGAGAATCAGAAGATAAACTTTGTATATTTATTTGTGATATCATTATAGGAATATTTTAATTTAACAATATGATAATTGTTACGAAACTATTTTGGGAAGTCAAGAAAGTTATGACTTTTCACTTAAATTCTCACTCTGTCTCATTTGGAGAGTTGCTTTCCAGCTATGAACATCAAGGAAGATAGTTGTTTATGTTCAAAATTAATGCCAAGTCAAAGCATTTTGTGCGGCAGAGCTCAGCCATAAAGGTTGTTGCAATGTTGCCTCTGGTAACTATGCAACACTCTGACTAACTACTTGTTAATTTTTTGTCTTATAAAAGCAGAAAGTCCATTTCTGTTTCAGCATTGAAATATCTAACCAGAATACTAACTCAACAAAATCATAACTGTTGCCTACATATTTCTACAGCTGCTTATGATGCCAGGACAATATATTTCTTATGATCAAAATATGAGGTTGGTCTTCAGAAAATAAAAGTCGCTGAGCAGGCCATAGTAGCAAATCAACTTTAGCATTTTTTCTTTTTTAATTTTTATTAGTGAGACACCATGAGGTACAGGAAATCTCAGGTTTTTTTTTTTCTTTTTGCTTTTTGGGTCACACCCTGGGATGCTCAGGTGTCACTCCTGGCTCTGCACTCAGGAATTACTCCTGGAAGTGCTTGGGGGACCATACGGGATGCTGGGGATCAAATCTGGGCCAGCTGTGTGCAAGGCAAACACCCTACCTGCTGTGTTATTACTCCAGCCCCTATCACAGGTATTTCTTTAGTAAGGATTTCATTCATCCAATTGCAGAAGTCATTAGAACCATACTCAAATCCTCAAGGTGAAACACTTATCCTTCGGTCTGTAGAAAGTTCATCCATGTTAAAATCATAATCCAGCTAACATTTATATTTGCTTATCTTTCTGGTGTCCTTATATTAATTTCCTTCTAGCAATCCAATCTGTTGTTGTTTTGGGGCCACACCTGAAAATGCTCAGGGTTTACTCCTGACTCTGAGCTCAGGGATCACACTAGAAATGTGGGGGATAGAACCCAGATCTATCATGTGCAAAGCAAGTACTATATTCACTCCAGCATCTAGTAATCCATTTTTTATAACAATATGGTGGAATGGAAGAGTAGAGTGCCAAGTGAACTTGTTTAGGTGAACATTTTAAATTTTGCCTGCGAAAAAGATAGTCAGTCCAAACAGGAAATGGGAAGCGAGAGTTAGGAGATAGTAGGAGATAAAGGAAGCCCCAGCCAGTCAAAATTCTCTTTGCTCCTCACATACAGATGGCAGAACAGCAGGGATCTCACCCATGCATGAGTGGTCATGGCGGGGCTGGAGCTACAGTACAGCGGGTAGGCCGTTTGCCTTGCATGTGGCCAACCAGGTTCAATCTTCGGCATTTGTATGGTCCCCCAAACAGCTCCAGGAGTAATTCCTGAGCGCAGAGCCAGGAGTAAACCTTGTGCATCGCCAGTGTGATCCGCCCCCCCCCCGCCCCCCTCCAAAAAAAAAACCACAGTGGTCATGGCTAGAGACTAAAGAAAGCGGAGGAGATAGGGAACCACTGGAGCTCTGGAGTTCAGTCCTAAAGATGCCCAGTGATAGGTTACAGAACAGTAACATCCAGCAAGGGAAATGATTGTAGCTGCAGTTTTTAGAATAGGAAAGCATACTGTGTATAGAGAACAACATAGGGATAAGGCTTGGTCATCGTATAAATAGTGACAAGAGTAGGAAGCTGTACTCTAGACCAGGCTTCAAACACTGGATAAAGGAGAGACCTGGCCTTTGGGGAGGACCAAGACTCATCTACTAAAAGTTTTATAATAAACTTTTACTTATTATGTATCTGAAATTTTTACGCAAATCTTTCATGCAATTCTCTAGAGCTCATGAACTCAGAAATAAGTTTATTTTCATGCTAACAATATGAATCAGTCAGGTTAAAAAACTGGGGAGGAGATTAAGGGTATCTTCTTGTTAAGCCTCTCAAGGTGAAATTTTCAACTGTCTCCTTGCCATAAAAGTGGGTTGTGGGGCCCGAGAGACAGTAAAGTAGATAGGGCCTTCTGCCTTGCACACAGTCAAATGGGACTCAATCTCCAGCACCCCATGTGGTCCCTTGAGCGAGACCAGGAGTAATACCTGAGGACAAAACCAGGACTAAGTCCTGAACACTGTCATGTGTGACCCAAAACCCAAAAATGTTAAGATTGAATTTTAAGTTGACTGTGGTTATGGATCTACAGATTATGAGAACAAGTTTGGGACATGGCAATCAATTGGTGAAGCAGGTAGGACACCTGCCTTGTAAGTGGTCAACCTGGGTTTAAGTCCCAGCATCCCTTGAGCACCACCAGGGGTGCCTGCTTTACACATGGTCAGGAGTAAGCATAATCATCAGGTTTGACCCAAAAGTAAGCAAAATAAATAAATAAATAAATAAATAAGTTGGCGGCTTGGACTGAGCATCTGGAATGCT